TCTGATCAAAATATGAGATAAATCGCACTAAAATTACTCTGTTTACCCTATTTTTGAGGGGTCTTATTACCATGTCACAAAAACACTGCATGGATGAAAATGTATACCTAAAATGTACACAAAGAGTAACTGCATAGACAGTGAGCAGCGAAATTGAAAATGCCAGCAGAAGGCAGACAAGAGCAAAAACAGAGTCTGTGGCTCCGCCGTCCTGTAAACACAGATCTGCTATGGATCTTTGTACATGTGAGTAATTGTAAAACTTAGGGGTGTGAGATGATTTTTCTGAACTAGAACGAAAAATTGTTAGCAGGGCACACCCCTCTCCAGACCTCTGTATACAACACCAGCAGAGTGGCCTTTATTGTTTGACTTTTGAAATCTTCTGCTCTCACCCTCCTAATCAACTCCCCTTCACAAAAAAATTTTATAAACCAAATTTTGCTAGATTGGACTATGTTTAAGGTGCGCTCAATAAAACTGAAATTCCTTCCTAATGATCATAATAGCATGTAATCCGCAAACAAAACGGACTTCTGATCAATGATAACATAAACTCAGAACGCTGTTCACAGTTACAATACTGGTTAAAAAGCAGAACATAGAACACTGCTGTTAAAATCACTATTACTATGAGATTACTATGAGAACTGAACTTGTCAATCCGTTGACCAGAAGCATGGAGCAGAGCAGACAGATTGTGTACCGTGTAACAATCACTGGTTTTGGTTCAGTCCGGAGCTGAAAGGATGTCTGGGCTGAGAATGTTCTTCCTTCCTCTCATATGCTTCCTCGCTCTGCTGGGATCTGCGGCTGCAGCGGTTCCCTCTCTCTCATTTTCTCCGGCAGAAGAGCTAGAGGTAGAGTCCTCCAGCGTGACACTGTCGTACTAACCAGCTTTGTCCTGCAGTTTCTCAGTCCTCTTCAGTTTCTTCTGTTCTTGCTTTGCTTTTACCTCTTCCAGCTTTATGGCATCACCTGCCATTCTTCCTCACCCCCGTTCTCACTCTGCGCCTCCAGGAATGCCTTGATGATCTTCGGTGATTTTTATCATTTTTAGTGTCAATTCATGGTCTCCTTGAATTCTTCTTCACTCTTCACTGGTGTTTCACTCCTTCCCCCTTTGTTCTTCAGGGCCTCCCGTTTCCCCACAAACTGTCAAGCTTCTTCACAGCATGCTGAAAAGGCTGGATGGGAATGCAGGCCTTTTACCAAAAGTCCTGGACCCCCTTCATGGTCTGCATTGCCCCATCATGCTTCACTGTCCCATTTTCTCCCATTCGGTGCAGATATACTGGCAGTACATCACCATTGGACAGAAGCTTGCAACCTGATAAAGACTCTTGCTTACAAGCAAGTACACTTCATCCTATTTACACAAAGTGGCCATCTAATGGCAGAAAAGACTAAACGCTTTTCAGTAAAAGAAACCTCCGCTGCTGTCAAGTACCTGTTGGTGTGAAAACATTGTGGCCTTGAGCAGACCCTAAATGACAACCTATCAGGAGGATATTTTGTATACATTAATTCCTACAAGTGGAGAAACAAATGAGGGGGTGAGAGGTTGAAATTTCCCCAAAAAAACATTTCACCCACCCAAAACGTGCCACCCTAACCTTTGGTGTATCTGTTACAGTCCTTACTCTAATGTCACAGAAAATTTCGGCCATTGTGCAGAAGAGAAATAAATAGAATATAACTCTTGTAGTGGTTGGCAGACCCAGGCATTACTGCATTAGAAACGAGACAAGGCAACTTTGTTTACAAGGGAGTGCTCTTTTATTTCGAGCCCTTAAAAGGACCAAACACAGGCATCAAGCACCAACTCACACACACCCGCCACAGTCTGCCCCCTGTGCTGGCCATCCCGACTGCCCTAACAACACACGGTAGACACAGACACATGTTATTTACAACACGTAACATTTATCACTATACAAGACATTACATTGCAACATAATACCAACACAATAGATGCTACTTACACACAACTATTTATATTATTTACATAGCTGGCACTGATCCAGCATGCCGTACTGCCTGTTGGAGTTACCCATCTTGGAACCCCCCCACAAAGTCCCGCAAGTGCTCCAGGCAATGGCAACTCCTTTACAGCCACAGGCTCTCAAGTCCCCCCACTGTTAATTGTTGACAGTACCGGTGACCAGCACAACCAGTTCCCTACCTCAGCTCTGGAATAGGTCCCAGAGATCCAGTGGCAGCCACTGGTGCCACTTCTCTGGTGATGGTGGAAGCAATTCACTTGCGAGCACTGAGCTGTTGGAGACTGCCGGCAAAGGAGACACTGGAGATCCTCTGCTGACCACTGGGTTGTTCCTCCTGCTAGCCCACCTGCTGCTTGGATCAGGTGGCCCCACACAGCCGCTCCAGGCTGTGCCACCCCAGCTCCAGTGACTCACCCAGCCACTCCTCATCGTGCTCGCTCTGCTCCCGGTGCTGGTCCAGCTCGTGCCGCTCCAGGACCAGCTGGGCCTCCAAGGCACGATATGCCTCCTCACAGCCGAGTAGAGCCACCTTCGCAGCCTCGGTCTGTTGTTTCCGGCAGTTATGGTCACACTTCCAGCTGTCCAGCTCCTTCTCTGTGGACTCACTGAGCCAGCCAGGCCTCCCAGGTGTGACACGCCTCATGGCCGAGCAGAGTAGCCTCAGCCTGCTGTCTCTGACAGCTGCACTCACAGCTGGGGTTGCACTGCGGCTCCTGGCCACTGGCAAACCAAGAGCCCTCACTGGCCGGTGAGCGGTCAGAGTCCACAATAGCTCCCGCCTTCTTTGGTCACCAACTTTGTCTCATACTGGGATCCAGCTATTTACATTATTACCATGGCTGGCACTGGTCCAGCATGCCGTGCTACCCTATGGGTTTCCCCAGCACTACATCATTTAAAGATATAAACAATATACATAATATAAATGACATTTCCAAACATGGACTTTAAAACATATACAAAGTAATCACGTAACTGGTAAGGAAAGATCCTGCAAATTGTCATATAAGTGGAATGTGTACTTTCAGACCTACATGACAACAAGGACTCACAGCATTCAGGTGAAAACACATTTACTGTATTAATTTTTAGATTTCCAGGTGATCCATGCAGTACTTGCAGAAATTGTACAAGTTGATGGATGTGGAACGAGTACGGCTTAGATGGCCGGACCAAATGACAGGGCTGTCCATGGAATATAATGCTGTTGTTTCCGACAGCACCAAATATAATTCATGTTGATTGTCCTTGATTGTTCTGCATAACACCCTAAAGTAAATTCTTTTGTATGAAAAGGTAGACCTACTAATTGGCAATAAATAAAAGGCTGTAATTCTGAAACAAATGATTCTGTTCATATAGATAATAAAGGGCATCATCCAAGTAGAAAGAAACAAGTGACTTTAATGGGTACAGAAAACCAATAGCTAGTAAAGGAAAGTATAATAAAGTTGTAATTCACCATTTATAAATACAGGTATGCATGGTATGTAATATGATTACGAAAAGAGAAAAAGCTAATTAATAAAATTAACATGACTGCTACTGATTCATGCATTTAAGAGCCGTTCTGCCCCACTTCTGTTCTGTGCAATAAATAATTGCTATAGTTGTTATATGAATGCAATATTGGCAGGAGTCGCCGTAAGTAAAGTCTTCCTTACCTACATAAATTACTTGGTCGTGTATTTTATATACCCAACATACACTCACATTTTACTCTGCAAACTACGATTCATAACAACCCTGATCATCATCTGGTTGGTACCGGATTATCTACCATAAATCCGACTAGTCGAGTTGAATCCTTAACAATTATAATATGTTCTTTAAATTTCTATCACGGCTCTGTGTGTGTGTGTGTGTGTGTGTGTGTGTGTGTGTCTCTCTCTGGGTCAGATACGTTAACGTGTAAAACTGGCAGTAAAAACGCATTGTCCCCAAGGTCGTGTGACGCGATGAAGGTGAGATCAATCTCTGAAATTAGACTTCTTGGCGATAAAAAGGCTGGTCCTAAGGCTATGTCTGATTTTTATGGTGATGAGGAAAATGACTCAGGTTGTCTGATTGCTGGATATGTAATTCATTGCCTTCTTTTCTATCCGTATCTATTTGAGCACCTTTTCACAGATCGTATAACTAATAAGATTTTGAATTATTAATTTAAAAGGGAAGGGTCTACATGGTTCTGCCAAGTATTGAGCTGACCTGTCTCAAATTCTACACTGTAAAAAAAAGAATCTTTTCGTTTTGAAAATTGCATTGAAATAGAGCCCTTATCATACATAATAATATCCAAATTATGTTAAATATGTAATGGAGCAACCATAAATGTAAATATACCCAGCAATGCCACCAAACTTCACGTATGCTGACAAAATATGAATATGGCAATAAACGTTTTTAAATTTAGGTTCATAACTGACTGGTGATCAGATTGCTTGAACCTGAATGTTGTTCCATTTGTTCAACTTTCGTTTGTCATTTTAACATGCATTTTTGCACTTTTTTTGCACAGAAACTGAATTACCATTCAATGTACTATACATAATATACGCTAGCTGTTATTTGGCAGCTGCATGGTTGCTTTCTGATTTTTTGTCGCCCATGAATCTTATCTCGAAGTGTCCACACTTACACCCTATCGTTTTGCTCCAATATTGGACCGAAAATTAAGCTAGAACGTGAAAACAGATGGCTTTTCACCGCGTTACACCTAAGGGGAAAATATTATTAAAATACATGCGTGCCATCAGTTGTAATCAACCATGTGAGTTTACGTCAATACAACTATATCCATTAATATAAAAGTAATAAAAGTTACTGCAGCTATAACAATAGCGACAATAATAACGATTATTATTATTAAGGGTCCAAAGGACGAAGTCCTTATGGACCATTATTGTTTTTATTATTATTATTGTTATTATTATTATATTTGTTGCGGTGCCCCTCCCCCATCGCCTGACTGCCTTGCTTTCTTTCTTTCGCTCTTTAAGCGTCTGTCTCTCTCTTTCTCTGCCTTTCATGAGAGGCGCAGCTCGTCAGTCGCTGTACAGCCCAGCGCAGAAATTTCCGCTTCCTGCTTCGATAAACATTTCAGACCAAGTCGGAAAAGCAGGGTTGCTCCAGGGGCTTTGTGAGCAGCGGGCACTCGGGAAGCGAAAGAAAACAGCAGCTTTTCCCGTTGGAAAAGGGGGCCGACCGGCGCTCCTGAATGTCAGTATCGGTCTGCCGATTTTGGGGATATATCGCGTTTTCGACTGGCGTCGTTGCTAGATCAGAGACACTCCGTTTGAAGTGTCTTACCTCCAAGTATGTCGGAGAGGGGAGGACTCCCGCGAACTGGAGGTGCTCCGTCTCCGCACATGCAGCCCTCCAAACCGGTAACCATCTCATCGAGCCGCCCGGTGCAGATGAACCTCTTTGCTACTTGGGAGGTTGACCGATCTTCTCCAAGCTGTGTGCCAAGGTAGGAGCCTCTAAAATAAAACACTTTCCTTTACAGCTTTACTCTTTCTGAGCACTTTATACGCCACTTAACATCGTGACAGGCAGCCAAGAGTCGTGCAGGTCTTTGCATGGAAATGTTTGCAAATGTGCGTGGAGAAACACGATCGTCTGCCCGATTGCACCTGTAAATTTTCGAACGGTACAGAAAAAGACTATGGAATGTGGAATTAGACCATAACGAGCTGTCACATATGTATTTTTTTTGCGCTGTCCCAAACCCAACCCACACCAATCCTATTATGTTCCAATGTTTAGGAACATAATACGATTGCTCCGGGTTGAGGGCCCAGTATGATATGATTTCATGGAGCCGAAAATCTCTAGCAGTGTCCCTGATTCCATATTCACTTACTGGGATGCTGATTTAAATGGTCTTTGGTTATTACCTCAGTTCTTATGGTACTTTTGGTGACCCTGATTCTGGGTGATTCCCTGTACGCCGTTACATCTAACATGCCTGTATACTGTCAACCCAAAGGTGCCTTTCTGTCACTTTCTCTGTAATGTGAAGCCATCATTTTGTATCACAGTGGGTAGGCCTTTTTAAAACTGTTTATTTATTTAAAAGTTATCTCTTTCAGGGGGGAGGCATAGTTGCTCAGCGGCGAGCACTATTGCCAAATTGTCCGTAGGTGTAGATGGGGTGTGAGTGTGCCCTGTGATGGGTTGGCACACTGTTGTGGGTTATTCCCTGCCTTGTGCCCATAGTTTCCGGGATTGGCTCTGCACCCCTGTGACCCTGTATAGGACAAGTGGGTACACAAAATGGATGGATGGGTGGGTATGAATTTCACTGGTTTATGCTGCTGTTTACATACACATTGCACTATGTATATTAACCCTTGTGTCCACCACCCCCCTGATTCACCCTGTCCTGGGTTTTGCAATTTGAGCATTGTGGAACCCCCCCCCCCCCCCCTCCCTTGTCACTTTCTGTTTGTGTGTTATGCCGTGATCCTGGGGGAACAGTATTTCATCAGGGGCAGTTCGGGGGGGGCTGGCAAGGCGGATGGGGCCAGTGCCCCTGTGACAACAGGCATGCCCCCCCTAAATACCTATGCTACTTGGGTCTGATATAAATGTATTATTATTATTACTATAATCATTATTTCCATTCATATACGTGGACTAAATTTTTGTGTGCTGGCACACAACAGGCAAAACACTAACGTAAGCACATTTTCTTGATGGACTCTTAACACGGCTGCGCCGGGTGGTCGTGTTGCTTTTGCTGGTGAAAAGCGAAGTTAGCACCAGGAAAAAAATCTAACTTGTGGAAGCAAGACAGTCTAAACAAAATATCAGAGTGAGTTACATATTTGTAACAATTGCAAAATGGGGATGCATAGCATTGCATAAATAACATCGGTTTTCAAAGTTGTCTTTTGATTGTTAATGCTGGCAGTTTAACATAAGTAATACTTGGAGGACATTGTGGTCACATGCATCTGCCCCCCTAACAGAACAACTGACCCCAGTCTGGACCCCCAGTTGAAATGGTCTAGAAACAGCACTGTATTTCATGTCACTGTATACCTGTATATGGGTGGTATGACACTTAAGCCGCCGACTTGAAAAGCAGCTGGATGTCGGCCTGGCTGTAAGTCTGTCAGCACTTTCATGTACAGGCCCTCAGGTCTCTACTTCCTTTATTAGCCCAATTTTGCAAGAAGAGTAACTAGGCCAAAATTCAACAGATTAGGACAGATCCTGCACCATAAGTGATGCTACATGGGTGGTGCTGTATTTTCTTCATTGCTAGAATAATGAAGTGGAAATTCACATTGAAGGAGTTACCATGTGATGGCAAAAGATTAGGCACCTGTCTGCTCTGACTGGAACAAAAACTCTGGAGAAGCAGGTGATTTCTGTAGTGTCAATATTAGAGTTGTAAGAATTCTGTTGTCCTTGAGTATGTATACCATTATATGGTATTCCTATGTGTCTGCATGTGTGTTGTTGTACTTTTTGATTGACATTTAGTTGGCAACTAGTATTGGATCAGATCTCGTAAAGTCAGTTAGCTGGGGAGTTCAGGCTTCCTAAGGCTGTAGAGCCAATTGCCAAACTGTTTTATAAAAATGTCATGAGAATTTTTCGGGGTGTACTGAGTGTCAGATGTGGAATTGATCTGTCATAATCAGCGAAGACGCGTATTTGACATTGTGCTTTTTACTGACTTCTGTGAAACAGATGATGTGACAAACATACTCTAATGGATTTGGATTTCACAGTCAGCTTGGAAAAGGTGGAGCCAGCATGTTAGTGAACATCTAGGATTCAACAATATGCTCAGAAGGTCGTGACTGAGGTTGCATACATTCTCTCTACAGTCTCTACGGATCAGCTGTTCTCCAGCCTGGAGTGTTTACAGTGGCATATTAAACCAGAGTGGTTATTCTTAGTTGTTTGAAAGCTTTACTAAACCCATGTAAATACTTTTCACCCAAACACGGTTTAGAATCAGCTGCTGAAACTCCCAGGCTGTTGTTGTTGATGAAAATTGTGACACACTGGAGTAAGAGTCTAGTTGGAATTTAGTGCGGAAGTAATACAACAGGGAATAACTTTTTTACTGTTGAATTTGCCAAATCTGGTGTGTAGGTTTCACAGTGCAGAGAGTTTTCGGCTTCTGTTCTGGCGCATGCTTAGCTCTACCTCCTGGTGAACGCCTGACACTCGCTTAGCTCTACCTCCTGGTGAACGCCTGACACTCGCTTAGCTCTACCTCCTGGTGAATGCCTGACACTTGCTGAGCTCTACCTCCTGGTGAACGCCTGACACCCTCGCTGAGCTCTACCTCCTGGTGAACGCCTGACATTCGCTGAGCTCTACCTCCTGGTGAACGTCTGACACTCGCTGAGCGCTACCTCCTGGTGAACGCCTGACACTTGCTGAGCGCTACCTCCTGGTGAACGCCTGACACTCGCTGAGCGCTACCTCCTGGTGAATGCCTGACACTCGCTGAGCTCTACCTCCTGGTGAACGCCTGACACNGCCTGACACTCGCTGAGCTCTACCTCCTGGTGAACGCCTGACACTCACTGACATTTCTGTAGTCTTATTATCTCTCCATATCATTGCCTCTCAAGAGCTACGTTTTTTTGTTGCCTTTTGTGTATTTTTTTATTTGGTTTGGGCGACATAGTAATACAAAGTCATGGTGACAGACTTCTTTTGCATCGCTTAGGCGTGTATCTCATTGGGCTGTGGGGGTGTTTTCCAAACTAAAATTAGACTGGCATGAACGCTCATTGATAAATACAAACTGAGTTGTGGTGACTTCAATCCGATGCATGCTGCTGGACAAGTCTGATGGGCATTAAGGCCTGAAGGCCTGGGTGAGAAGTGTTTCTCTCTGGAGAATTACGACAGAGGCTCAGTCTGTCCTTTCCTTCTGAGCGCAGTCTGCTTGCGTGCCCATGCATGTAGCTGTCTGGGGCAGAATGATAAGCTGTCGCTACTGGGAGTGCAGGCAGGGAGTGTCTCCTAGCCGCTCCGTGGTGGCAGGTCAGGGCTGAAGCCTCTGCTTTGCCTGTATGCCTGTAGACAGGAATGTTTGTGCATAAGGAATTAAGAACTAGTGTATGCGTGTGTCTGCCTGCGTTTTCATCTGAATGCCTCAAATGCCAATCAAATGATCTCTCTGTTTATGAATCTCTGTTTTTGTGCCTGTCAGGAAGTGGTTTCATGTGACTGTGAGAAGACTGCGGTGTTTATGTATGTTTATGTATATACAGTGGCGTCATTTTGTATTCTTGTACTCCAATATGGTGATCTTCATCTTACTGTTTCAAAGATACAGCAACATACAAGAAAATATTTGTTGTTTAATTTGGAATCCAAATAAAAACACAAAAATTCCTAGTTATTATCTTTGACAGTTTTTGCGATAGGGCTCTTGGGGCATCCCCAACCAGATGAGTGGGGACCTCACTTTCATTTTAATGTCAGGTTTCCACCTTTCACTGTGGGATTTCGCTATGAATCTCTTGGAAAAAACATTGTTTTTCATGCTTTATTTTGGTATCTAGTTTAGTGAGTATTTTGTAGGGTTCTATGAGAATATTGAGGCTGAAATGTACCAGTTTTTGGTTAAATGGTTGAAATATTGGCATTGATTAAAAAATATATATATATATATATATTAATTTGACGATTAATTGAGTAATCATAATATGTATTTTTTTGATTGAATACCCAAATGGGAGAATAGTATGAGCAAAGATTTTTAACAGAGTCCTGGTTGTAAACATTGCGAGAGTTTAGGTGCCTTTCACATGATAAGCATCAAGAAGACGGAGCCTTCCATTATTGTCAAAGGGAGGCTGAGCATTGGCTCACCTTGAATGATGCGTTCTGCTCAGATTTTCCGTTTTGATGCTGTGCTCAAAGTTCAGTGTTGACCTTTCTGCTGCTAACAGCCAATTAGAGACCAGCTATGTGACCAGTGGTGGAAGTACATACTTAAGTAAAAGTATAGATTCCACACCAAAATTTCACTGAAGTAAAAGGTATCCAATAAAATACTACTCAAGTAAAAGTAAGAAACATACATAGTTTTAAAAGTACTAAAGCATTTCAGTTCATGTGTCTTTAGCTGGTGTGCTGCTAACTGTAATACTGATATATCAGCTGGTAATATTATTATGTTAATCGATGTATTGTCTATCTATGTATTGTTTGTTGCATTTTCATAGAGAATGCAAATGTGATGCTAAATAATAATAATGAAAATAATAAAGATACATATTTTGCTTAAGAATCATGAAAGAAAAATATGATCTTGATTAAAAAAATAAATAAATAAAAAATTCACATGATTCACATTTTACGCAGAACTGTGCATCCCTACACTCAGGTGAACTGCATTCTATTCACAAATAGTGAAAAATGCAAAATGTGAGCAGTCAGGCAGGGATGCCAGGTTTGCAAATTGATATTAAGTTTGAAATGAGA